CTACCCTACATGTTCATCTTGATAATGTCTATGATCCTCCTACAGTCTGCTTCACTGATTAAAGGGCACAGCTGCATCTCAGCTGCTACTTTAGGCCAAACAAGCCCTTGCTTCTGCTACATTTGAAGTCCATTTCTCATCTTCAACCTTTGATCCTGCTAACAGAAGATCACCATTCCAATCACGTACAATGAAACCCAAATCTCTTTCACCTTTACTTTTATTACTAGTGCCAGAGTTCAATTTCAGGATTCCCATAGGAGGTTTCTTCCAATGGCACTGCCTGCGATCCTTCTTCCTTTTGCTATCGTTGTCTCTCCCTTGAACCTCAAGAAAATCATGAATGAAGATGTCCGCTTTTGAAAATACCTCCCACTCATGCATCATAGGATTGTTGTGGAGGATAGTGTTCCTATCTTCCCAGAAGTGCCAAAATAGTGAATAGATTCACCCACAGCCTACCTCAGAGGCTTCTTTAAAAATTTTCAGAAACCACTCTTTGCCTATGTTTGGCCTGGCTTTTAGAAGTGCTTTTCGGCTTCAAAAGCTGAAGCAGGGCCAAACACCTCTAAAAGCTCGGCTTTTGAAAAGCCGAAAAGCGCTTTTGTATAACATAAAAGCATAAGCTCCGATTTGGAGATTCTGCGAAAAGCTGTTTTGAAAATACAAGATTATCCTTACCATATTTTAATTTTATTTCAGAAAATATAATTTTTCTTCATTTATATTATTTTAAAAATAAAATAAATTATAAAATCATATTATTTAATATAAAAGAAATCTAACAAGATCCATTTTTACTACTTTTTATTGTTTAGAATTTTATTTATATTTTATATTATAAGTCCTTTATAGTCATTTTACACAACCGCTCATATTAAAAAGCACTTCTAATAGTTTTACAGCCAAACACTAAACTGCTTTTTTTGAAAAGTACTTATCTAAAAGCTCCAGCCAGAAGCCGCTTCTGCAAATGCTACAGCAGGGCCAAACTAAGCTTTTATAAGATAAACCATCAACCATAGCGAAGAACTTGCCTAATGGATTTTGATTCCAATTTCGAGCCACCCAACCGCATTCGAATAGAAGATGCTTTAAAGACTCCACATTGCCTCTAAAATGTGAAATTTTGCTAATTTGCATGGATATGTTGTTGGTGCCTCTTCATTGTGAGATTGCAGAAGTATAAGTAATGGAAGAGAGTAAAAACTTCTGGTTCAAGGAATAAGATACTCACTGCAAAATGAAAAGGTAACAATATTCCCCGATTTACATTCTAAAAGTTCATGTTTTAACTAACTAGAGGAAAGGTTTATGAAGAGTTAACCGTGTTTTGACATTCAAAATCCATGCAAATTAGCAAATATACAGAGTCAATCGTGTATCCAATGAACTAATTAATTAGATTTATTGGATTCAAACAATAAGCTTTTTATAATAAGATTTGTCCAATTAATTGGCTCTTTCTCAGGGCTTTTCTCTTGCTTAATTGGTCTGTGATTACCAATGTAGGTTTCACATTTCAAAGTGTCTGTAAGTGTAGCATTATCCTTTTCATGGTGTAGGTCAAAGTGATTCTTTGGGTGTTGGAATGAAAGGGATCGATGGTTTGAGGGATGGTACTGGTTTTTACAAGGTTTCAGGTTGTCGATAAGTGCACCATATCCTTTTCATGGTGTAGGTGTCCCATTGAAGAACTTGCTGCAGTAAAGAAGACAACAAAGCATATTGGAGTCATATTAAGCGAAATGGGTTTGGGTACTGCAATTTGTTTAGTAGCATGATAAAGGAGATCAGGATGGAACATATATGCTTAGTAACTTTGCATAAACTGATTTTCATTTGCAAACCACATGTAAAACTTTTTGAGTTTCTTTTGTAGCAGAGTGCAAGCGAATCAACGTGCAGGGTGAGCAGGGAGCGCCCACCCTGGAAAGTGCTATAGGTTATACCAATACTTAATGTATCAAATCGGTCGATTTAATTGTGCCAGAAATACAAAAAACTTCATTTGCTGGAACCGTCCATTGGTTGGTTTAAACGTGTATGAATGTTGTTCTGTCCTGATTTCTACAGGATAATTAGAAGATAACCCAAGCTCTCGGAGTTTTGAACCAAGTATTAGGAAGGCTAATTAATCTAAGAAGCAGGCAATAACAAGCAAATGTTCATTTTTAGTTCCCTAGTATTATTCTTCATAAGAAGGGAACAGTATGGCGCATGAATGTGAATCGTTTGAATTCAAGGAGTCGTGGCAGTCTCAAATCGACATGGAAACCAGTTCGGCAGGTGAGTCTGTATTTACCACTATTTTCTAGGGATACATGAAAGGTGGGTCATATCCCAAATTTGTTGTTCGTTCTTGATTTCTTTAAATTTTATCATGGCCTGGAAAAAACCAGAAAGCACAGTGACGACAAGATGAAAGTTTTATAAAGAAAATTAATCGGCCAACGGCCGAGTAAAAGCTACCAACGATTGCGAGATGTTCATTTCCCGAAGACCGGTGGGATAAGCGATTTTTTATTCGGTTTCCTGGGATTTGGTTTCTATAAAACTTACTCCATTTCATCAGATTACCAAAAATAATACGATTTCACAAGGTAACAGGTACCTGAACTTGGTTCATAAGGCTGATTTTTGATTCGTTGCATCATCCATGCCTCTTTTCTGCTAAAATTCACTATCTTTATCACGTGTTTTCCAAAAAAAATACAACAATAAGCTAACACCCCATTACATTCTCAAATTCATACCTCACCTTCCTCCGACCAACTGACCGGGGGCCACGCTAGTATAGATATTGAGATACCAATCCCTCTCCGCTCCATTTTCTGTGGCGGTCGGATACCTGCAGTTGGGGCTTGATTGCCATTAGACTTGGCAATCGGGTCGGGTTGGGTAATTTCGAGTTGAGAACTTTGGTTACGGGTCGGGTCATGTTTGGTTGGCTTATTTCGGGTCAAATATTGACCCAACCCATTCGGTTTTGGGTCGGGTTACAAGTCATTTTGGGTTATGAGCGTTCTCATAAACAATATCAAACATGCTTCATATTTTCTTAAAGAACACAAATTTTCACATATGCATGACAATAGTTTACCTAACACATGTCAATTAACATATTCTCAAATCCTCCCACATTAATGAAATGAAATATAAATTGCGCAAATCGTCAAAAAACAATCACAAGAGTAATACTACTACAAGAAACACATGATATTTGATTATCCTTAAACTCCAAACATGTCATTCAAATCCTTGTGTTTTTTTAAACATCTCACCAATTTATGAGTAATTTTATAATATTTTGAGAGTAATATATTAAATGGAACGAGTCTAATGGGTCGACCCATTAACCCACTCAACCTGATCCAAAAAATTACGGGTTATCGAGTTCAGGTCATTCGGATTTCGAGTTACAAAAATTCTAATTTTCGGGCGATTTCGAGTCGGGTCAACGGATCGGGTAGTAATTTGCCGGTTCTAATTGCCATCTCTACTCAAAAGATTTTACCTACGTGCGTGGAGAAGCCAATTATGCAACAGAGAAGGTAGGAAGTTGATTTTTACCCGTGGGCCTTCTGGCTGGCCAACTGGGTACGTGGGATGGAAAACCTATACATCCTAATGTTTGGCCCATCTCTTGGACCAAGGCCACGACAAGAAACCTGAACCAAACAATGGATCAAAGCCCAAGGTAGGAAACCCTAAGAAATGACGCTTTCAAAACGAGTAAATTGAAAATTTGATCACTAAAATTACTATAAAAGTTCGCGTTGGTCACTAAAATTAATTTATTTTATTCATAGTTATTCAAATTAATTACACCGTTCAAGTTTGATCAGTGACCGTTAGTCCCCATCAAAAGTCATTAACAACGTAAATTAAGTAATGATATGATAAACGAAAAGTTCTAATCAGTTTAATTTAACCCTAAAAACTCATGATCCGCCCCGCCACATCATTTTTGCGTGTCAGCCTGACCTCAGGGACGGAGCCAGCTTGCTGCTAGGGGGGGCCATGGCCCCCCCTAAAACTTTAAAATCATAAGAATACTGAATGTGTTACATAATTGGCGAGTAGCTCAGATGGTTGAGATGTTGGCTGCTTTTAGTGTATTATAAATTATAAATTGACCAGAGTTCAATCCATGTAGATGTACTAATTTTTTACTCCTTCTCTGATATCAACCTCACTTCCTCATTAATCATTATATTCACTTCCTCCATACACCTCTCATTGTTATTAATACTTTAATTTTGCAAGAAAACCTAGATGGACTAATTTTTACTCCTCTGATATCAACTTCACTTCCACCTTATATTCACTTCCTCCATACACCTCTCGTTGTTATTACTTTAATTTTGCAAGTAAACCCCTCATCATTATGATAAAGTTAATTACATTTGATGCAAGAAAATGTTTGATCTAATCCATATATTATGTAATCGTTATTTTTTTTTTGGTAGTAAACTGTCGTGGTTTGAATAAATTTCAAATAAGTGATTGCTTTTTAGCTTTCTCAAAATTATTGAAATATTTTCTCATGAATTTACAGAAGGTCATGCTAAATTGATTTTAATTTTTGATTTTATTGCATGACCATAATTGTATTTTGATTGCAAAAAAAGGTGAAATCTTATCTATGAATTATTAATCACCTATTATTTTTTGTAGATAAATCGTCGATTATTTGTGGAAATTTATAGAAAAAATTCGTCAACTTAATTTCGTTTATTCATGATGTCATGGGAAAAAAATGTCGGTATTCAAAGGAAAAAAAAATTCGTCGGCCCCCCTACTTTCAAATCCTGGCTCCGTCCCTGCCTGACCTACCCAGCCCGCAAACCAACCCGAAAACTCTGAAAACTTCTTTACATTACTATCTACATTCTACAGCGAACACACAGTCTTGAGTGTCTGACAATTACCCCCAAGATCTTACCCTACATTTGCTGCATTTCAACTTCTCGAAGTAATTTTCTTAACAATAATCACTAATCAAATACCAATGGACTGGGATCAAACTTAGCAAATTTCGTCATCTCTTCATTTCCCGCCACCACCGCCATCTCATCCTCGTCCATCGTCACCCACGCCTCGACTCCTTCTCCACACGGCGTATCCGCCAGAATCACCAGATTCATGAACACCGAACCTCCCACCCCGTAGCTGCTCACCCAAATCGGCTTGCCCCACCCAAAATCCGACCCGTAAAACCCCATCCTGCACCAGCTCGAAAACCCCACAAAATCCGCTCCCTCCTTTTTCATCTTCATCTCCACAATCTCATCAAACGTCTCCGCCATCGCCGACTCACTCCCTTTCCCCCTCAGCCTCCCCACGAACCCATCGTCAATTTTGGAAATTGATTCCCTCACTTTCCCCGCCAATTCACCAAGATCCGAGGGCTTGGAAGGGTGCTCTGTTTTCGGATCGTGTTTTGCCGACGAGATCCAGAGGAGATTCCCGAGGGAATTTTCGGAGAGAGGCGGCTCGACCCGCTTCCGGAGGTTGACTAGGTGGGTAAGGAGAGACGGTTTCTGGGTTCCGGTCACCCTTTCGGAAGCCTCCATGATCGATTTCCAGAGGAGAGCGGAAACGATCTCGACCCGAGTCCCCGCCGGAGAGATTATTCGGGCCTTGAGAGACCGGATCGCCGCCGAATCGAAGACGATTCTCCGGGTCACGCATTTCCCCGTCTTGAAGAACGATCCCCACATCGGCATCGAAGCGTCCCGGAGCCAGTGGGAGCCTCCCGCCGGAAACAGAGTCCCGGCGATGAAATTGGGATTCAGCGCGCTATTCGTTTCTTTCTCCTCTTCACCCCCGGCAGCCGTTGCGGTCCACGCCTTGAGGAAAGTGCCGAGCGCGACGCCGTCGAGGATCTTGTGGGAGATGCAAATTCCGATGGCAATCCCGCCGCAGGCGAACTCCGTAACCTGAACATTCGACACGTGTCTCGGTTCGACGATCGGCCCAACTGGGTCGACCGGGAGGAGCTTCGGTAGCGATAGAAGATCCGGTTGGGTGAGGAACCGATTCATGGTGCAATCCGCCCGGGCCTCGACGAAATTGGCCCCTCGATCATCGCAGTCGATGGCGAGATCGTCCGGAGAGAGGGTTCCGGCCAGCGGGTAGAAACGGGTCAGGGTTTCGGACAAGGAGGATTTGAGGGCGTCGAGCCGGGAGCTCGAAACAACGCCGCCTTGGTAGTTTGGGTAGAAGAGGATGAGTGGAGCGTAAGGAGGAGGGAGGAGTTGGTCGAGGAGGGAGAGGTGGAAGGTTTTGAGATGGGGAGGAGTTGGGGACGATGGTTTTATGGTTTGTTTGGAGATTGTTTTCACTTCAAGCTTCATCATTTTCATGGAGAATAATTCTTCTTCTTCTTTGTTTGGTTTTGGATAGTGTATGTAGTGTTTATGTGTGAAGTGGGTGCATTTATATAGAAGGAGAATTGGAGATATGAGGATGGCGCCAAGACAGCACATAGGTTAAGCAGCCAATTTTGACATTACTTTTGGACTTTGGTTAGATCCTTCATAGCCATATCATATGTGGACACTAAATTGGAAGATTCTTTGGTATGGTATTTTTCAAGTTGTATATTGCTTCTAGATAGCATTGAAATGGTATAGGATTTTGATGCTTAATAAGATTTGTAGTTTTTTTTTTTTATACATAAGAGGTGGTTATCAAGAAATAATTAGGAAATGAATATAAGTCACAATTTTTTTGACAAATTATCAGAAAACTGAACGCTTTAACATCGTCTCAACCTTTATGTATTAATTAACACACTTAAACATCTCCAATTAATAGATACTCCAAAAAGACTAGATAGTCATCTAAAATATTAGCCTTTTAGTAAATGTGCTCTATGAAGACCTGTCAAGATAAAGCTAGAAGGCGAAATCTCCATCACTATCGCAAACTCACAAAATTGAACATCTCCAATAGATAAAGAGTACTCCCAAGAGATTAGATAGTTATCTAAAACTTAGTCTCTTAATAAATGTGCTTTATAAAGACCTGCCAAGATAAAGCTAGAAGGCGGTGAATCTCCATCACTATTGCAAACTCTCAACTCTCAAAATTGAATTTAACATGATGTGAAATGCTTATATAAACAACTTGTGGTCGAAATTCATGCTTTGGAGTTGTCCATTGATGGATAGGTGAAAAAAGACGATACATAGGGCAACATATTGGCCAGAAGTAGGATAGATACCGGAAAGCTGATTATGGTTTAATTCTCAATAGATATGATGTTAATAAGTTTTGAAAAGCTACTGGTTTTCAAAGATGGACTACATATTTTAATAACTTGGATGTACTCGATGTAATCAGAGGGACGAAACCTGAATTAATTAGAATTTGAGATATGATATTATATTATATTTTCTAAATTTTAATGAGTATGTTCGAAATCTTAATTCTTTTAAATTCAAACCACAAGATTAATTTAATAAAAATAATAAATGGATGATTTTGATTCATCAAAATACATTGAAATATAATTAATAGTTGTGAATGCATGCGTTTATTATACGCTCTTTTGTATCCGACTACATATGGCTCTTTTGATTTCCACTCCTCGTTGTATACCAGATTGTAATTTGTTCGATCTCTTTCTAATCAATATAAGATTATATTTTGTAAAAAGCTATAGGGCTAATACCACTACAACACCAGAACTATCCCAAAAATGTCACTTGTGTCCTATTGTTTCCAATATTCCATTCATGTCCTGAACTATTTTTCTGTTAAAGTTGACTCATTTTGACCGTTAGTTTTTAACAGAAAGTCCAGTCAGCATTGATGTGGAACATGACATGGAATTTTAATTTATTTAATAAAAAAATTAAAATAAAAAATAATGAAAATAAAAATAAAAACGTTTCATCTCCACCATTCACCCTTAATCCTTTCTCCCCGGTTCACCCTTCCTGTTCACCACCATTCACAATGATCCACCTACGCCACGGTTGCGGAACAGAACCAGCGAGCTTGACGTCGTTCTTCCTTCGCCGCAGAGCGCAAGACCCAGATTCGTCGGATTAGCGAAGAACACATTGCAAATCGGTCGGGATTTGCGAGGAACCCATTGCTACATCGCAAATCTGGAATTCACATCGCGGAATGGTGAATCAAAGCACCAATCAAAATGCCTGCTCTTCGACTGCGACTACGACGGTGGAGGCAGGGGAGCTAGTCTTCCGATTTCAGACGGCGGTGAGAGTTGTCTTCGTCGCTGAAGATATGCCGCAATCTTTCACCACTGCAGGAGAGGAGAATGTCGGCGAACAGATGGGCTCTCTACACCAGGATCTTAAGGGATCGAGCGCTTTAAGGATTGACCACTGTTGAATCTTGATGATTCTGCCCCTCCGATTCCTCCTATTCTCTATGCATCAATCGATCCGTCTCTCTTTTCCTTTATGTGCCCTAGAAATTCGAGGGGATTCCTCTTGATTCTTTTCATTATCAATCTTCGACTCCTTTTGGGGTTTGAGAATTTGGCTAGGGTCCGACTGAGATTACAGCCACTCCATTTTTAGTTGGCTTTTCAAATGCGGCAAAGGAAGCATAGGTGGCTCTCGGTCTCGAAGGTGGCCTTGTAGGTGATCTGCTGAGAATGATGGGAAGCAAATCGACTTCAGATTTGGAGGCGGTGGGCAAATAAAAGAGTCCATCTAACGAAGAAATCGGAGATTGTCGCTGGAGTACGACTGCAACATAGTCAGATCTGCCATTAAAGTGGAGCTGGGAGACCCTGAATCTCGCCATTGATGAGAACTAGGAAATCGGAATCGTCTTCATTGCCGGGTCGATTGGGGGAAGTTAGGAGATGATGCGGCGGCTTCATTGCTTGGAAAATGGAAATCATAATCGTCTTCATTGCCGGGTCGGATTGGGGGAAGAAGGAGATGATGTGGCGGCTTCATTGCTTGGAAATCGGAATCGTCGTGGAGATTTTTTAGAGAAAGAGAGGGTGAATCGCTAGGAAGAAGAATAATGGGATTTTTAATTATTTTGTTTTAAAAATTTGGCTTAATAATATAATTGAATTTACAGTTTTTTTTTAATTTTAACTCAATTTTTATTTAATTTGAATTAAAAAAATATGAGATCAGTGACGTGGCATCTATGTGGCAGCCACATTTTTTGTCACGTCAACAAAAGTCAATTTCGCGTTGACGGTTAGGTCAACCGTTATCTTTAACGGTCAACGAAATTAACATAATACAAATGACACAAAGTATCATAGTTCAGGACATGAATGAAATATTGGAAACAATAGGACACAAGTAGCATTTTCCGGATAGTTCGGGCGTTATAGTGGTATTAGCCCAAAACTATATAACGAAGAGATCAAATTAATACAAGTGAAGAATCAGGCAAATTCAAACACATAATCTCAAAGTTGATCTACAAACCATCTGGAAACATAAGATCTCATACCAAAACAATTAGTCTACAAGAACTTGACAGAAAAAAGGAATGAAGGAAAGAAAGAAATACAGTACGCGCAATTATAAGTGGAGACATGTCAAATATTTCTGGAACATTAAATAGTGATCACGAAAGGGAACCTATAACTAGTTGATAGGCGGAGCCAATGCAGTCAAAATCGCGTTTTAAAATTTAAAAGGTTACGCTTTTACCATTTTGGGTCACCAAAACGCTTTTAAGTAGAATCGTGATTTTCCTTTACAAATGTAGTCAAAATCTACGTTTTAAAACTTAAAAGCTTATGGTTTTACGCTTCTAGGTCACCCAACCGCTTATAGGTAGAATCGCGCTTTTGACTTCATTGGACGGAGCCAATTCATATTAGGGCTGTCAGATAGTGAGGGATCCAGGATTTTTGAACATGTGTGTCGGTCGATGAGTATTTAGTAATTTTTTACGCTAAATTTTTTATAGCATAATAAAAGTGTGTCGGTTACAATTATTGGAGTTACGTCGGAGGATCCGAATTTTAAGTTTTTGTACTGACGAACCATTGATCTCTTACAAATATTTTAGACTAGGATGTGTTGGCCGACACACTTCCTCACCACTTGTGTCCGCTCCTGGTGTCAGGAACGAGTTGCTGACTTATCGTGCAAACTCCTTCACGGGTTTGCAACAAGACAATCCATGTATCTTTTCTCCATTTCATTCTCTCTCTTTTTTTTTACAAAAGATAATCTTATATTGATTCACAAAATAGACAGTTACACCCTGGAGTTCAGCCAGGTCTGAAAATCAAAGGAGCGGCTCATGGTTGGGTACAAAGAAAGGGCTTCTCTAGCCACTATATGGGCTACCCTATTACTACGCCGACCTACGAACCGTATACTATAACCCGACTGGGCATGGAGACAGTTATAAATTTCTTCAAGAACAGCACCCATCATGTTATCTCCAAGCCCCCCCCCCCCCGATTGAGCTTATCAATAATGACTTTGGCGTCGCCTTCAAACCTAACATCAGTAAGTCCTAACCCGCGACACCAAAGCACAGCCTCCCTAAGCACCAACAGCTCCACTACCATCGGGTCATCAATAATCGAGAATTGCACTCCCGCACCCAAACTGATCCCCCCTGCAGGATACACAAGAACCATTCCACCAGCCGAATGAGACCCCCTCCTAGTGGCCCCGTCCCACCGACAGATCATAAGAGGGTCACCATCAGTGTTCGACAGACTTGGGCTAGTGGGAGGGACCTGCGAGATGGAGCGGGCAGGCAACCGAACCCATTCCTCATACTGCTGAACAAACTGACGCATCAACACCTGGACCCCAAACTGCTTCCCTTCAAACACCACCCAATTACGAGACCGCCAGATCCGCCAAAGGATGGCAACCACCGCCATAAACACGATTGGTTGATTGATCAAGGCCAATAACTTTTTGAACAAAGGAAACGTCTGACAAGGCAACCCCTCACCCAGATATTCCAGTCCCGAGTAATCCCGAGTAATGACAAAAATTGCATTAGAGGCATTTAAAAAATGAGAAAAATATATCACATGTGATTACTCTAACCTTCTAATCCTTTCTCCACCACCCACCCACAGAAGACATCTCATTTCGTCTACCACTTTGTCGCCCTCCCGAAAAGAACCTTAGTGGTAACCTTTTCGGTGGTGATAATCTGGTATACTAATAATCTTTTAATGATTTTGTGGCGGAGTGGTGATATGGTCTACTAGTGTAATCTTGAGTTATTTGACTCTACAAATACCACATTGACAATAAACCCATCCAAACGACCCCTTAATGTTTTTCTTAGTTTGGTGGTAATTTTCGGTCTAGTAGTGCTAATCTTTTCAGTATAGTGGTAATAAGGTCTACTGGTAATCTTT